AGAAATCAAGCTATCATATACTTAGGCACTGTATTTACCCACTGAGCTATCCCAGAATTGCCCACCAGCTGATTGGGGAAACAATTAGATCCTGTCAAATGATACAAAACAGCATGACAAACCCCAGAAGAGGAATGCTGCCTGTTATATGGGGAAGTCAATGCCTATTGTGAAACTGGGCCATACATACCTGCAAGGTACCAGATTCAACTTCCCATCTGTGTATGTGTATCTGGGATAGGGGCTAAGGGGAGGGAAATGGGGAAGGAATGAGAATGTGTGTTGGGGGGAGGGGTTGTTGTACACAATAATTGTCCTATGGGCTACGGGAAGGGAAAATAGTCTACCAGGGTTCCTATTATTTAGTGGATAACCCTGTGCAAAATGGACGTGTAATGAAGGCAGCTTTGGCCTCTCCTGGGATGCCCTTGTGCCCGAGCAGTTGGGCAGTACTCACTGCCCAGGTGAAATGGGGAACATGGAAGAACATAGCGCCAGAACCAGAATATTCCTAACCAGGTCTTAGTATTGACATTAGTTTTCTCCCAAAACAATCCAATCAAAATGACCCAATTTGAAACCTAGTATTCAGACTTCACGATGTCTCCTGACTGCCTGAGCTCACTTGAAGCAAACACTACCTTAGCACCAGCTGCAGTGGCCCTCTGTGACACACTTACTGCAGCAACAGGAAATGCCCAACTGTGGTATCAGATTGGCAGCTGTATTGATCTCACGGTAAGAGAACGTTCTTTTTTGCTTGGACTAATTTGGTTTAGAGGCCTTTGTTCCTCTTCCTGTGCCTGGGTGCCTGGACTCTTTTATTCGTAGGTTTGAAGTGTGGTCAGTAACTTTGATGCTTAAAATAAACATGCACATTCCACATTTATGAAATTAATTTAGTAATTTCAGTGTAGCCATAACAGATATTTTTTTCACACAAGGATGAATAATAAAGAAGAAAAATCCTTACATTTTATATCGCAACTTATCAAGACCAACATTCGTCTCAAAGAGTATGCCAGCATTTAATGTAAAGTGTAGTGTATTTGTTGACAAAGATAGCAGTGAATTTGCACAAAGTAATGTGTCACAAGTGGCATGAAGTCACTGATCTATTTTATCTGAGGGAATTGTTGGCCAGAGAAGGGAGAAACTCCCTTCTCTTTTTGAATGAGGACCATGAGATCTTTAACATCCACCTGAACAGGCACAAATGAGAACATCAGTTTAATGTCTCATCTGAAAGGACAAATGAAAAGGTTGTGTAGGATTTTACGCAACAAATTGGATGAGAATAAAACTGAATCCCAACATCCACTGGGCCTGTTTGTACAGTTTGTGAAACCAGAGAATAGCAATAAAGCAAGACAGATTCACACCTGCAATCCTAACAAGTCACGTTCTTAGTCATCCAGGAAAGGGAATTATTTTACTAATTGGATGAGTCACTGGAGGCCGTTTAATTTTACTTCCTTCTGCCCCATCCTGATCAGTATAATGTACACCAGTGTTCCTTACATCCCAAATAGGCATTAAGTGCAAATTTAATTTACATACGATAAACATTTAATTCACTCAACACAAAAAACAATGCTTTTCCTCCAGCCAAATACCACTGCCCAAATCTGCTCTATTGCACCTGCCTCCCTCAATTCCACCAATAATAGTCGAGGCTTTCAGCCTCTACACTCATCACCTCTCCTGCATTCAAACCCCTTTTTAAGACTATCTCTGATTGATTGTGCTGTTTGTCAACATACTTTGGTCTCTTCTTGGTTCCTGCTCAATGCTCCTTCCAGGGTTTAAGGTGGGAGTAGGGATTCTTCCCACTCAGTTCCTCTTAATCTTGCAAGCCAAAGCCATACCAGATAGGGTCCTAGCTGGACAAGAAGCAGAAAGCTTGTCAGACAGTCCTCTCAATGGCAAGCTATGGGTTTTAACTAACTACAGCAGTACCCCATCACACACTTTGGAGTCTCCAAGCTTTGGCTAATCTTCACACATTACTCTCCAGTTTTAGTTAAACCGGGTGTGTCCCTCAGGAAGTGAGCGCACATTCCATTCCACACACACAGGGAAATTTCCATATGCAGGCGATGGAACTCGCAGTTGGGTTTGGAGACTGTTTAGCATGATGATGAATTTTGTGTGTGTCAGACTCGGGCCTGCTCAAACGAATATCTGTTAATTGCTTTCAGATCATCCAACGTGAAACCTGTAATACAAGTACAAGTTGTTGTTGCCACTATTCAGAGCAATTGTCCTCTTATGTAAGACCAAGCTAAAATACAATTTCATAAAAATTGGACCATGTTATATATGCAATGGGGCAATTCAGCAATAGAGCGGTCAAGCTCAGCCTTCAGGTCTACAGTAGTAAACTCTGAACCCTGCAAACAACGTCACATCACAAGTGATCTCTTGAGAATCTTTGGGCACAGGACCTTACCACTAGCAATGTCAAAGTGCTTCATGCAGTGAGTTACTTTGAGGTGAAGTGACTGTGGTTTTGTAGGTAAATTCCTGCTTGACAAAAATTCATTTTTTTAAAAATTAAAGCTTATTCTCACAAATGAATG